TTTGCATTAGTAACTACTTCATAGCATGAACCAGCTGGAACAGGCTGCTGTATTACTTCAAAATTCATGTTATAAACTGCTAAACAGCTGATGTGTCAGGAACAGGATGAAAGTACTCTTTTCAACACCATCCCCCAGCATGATCACTGAATAATGACATTAAGATTCAAAATTTGTTGAACCAGCTCTAGAAACCTGACAACAAATCTTTCTGCCTCTCTGGATGACTTGTGACAGTGCTACACTATCCTCCTGCTATTAGATATCCTCTTCTTCAACACATTTGACAAGCCCAGCCAACTTCTTGAATTTTAGTAAAGGAGATCAGTTGTGACATTAGACAGAAATTTAGAGTACTGCATTTGGGGTGGCCCAAGATAAAAAGGTAACAACAGAGGAGTTCATCACTGATCTAAAAGTGGAGAGTCAGTTTTACAATTTTGTTGCTGTGGCCTGTATAAAAACCATATTATATTCAGGATCTGAGAAATCCAACTCAGAAAATGAGACTGGTAAATCCCAGATTAACCTCAACAAGGTATCTGGAATTGTCCAAAGACCCTCACTCAGTTCAGACTGAAGTACAGGAAGAAAGAATGGTGCTGTGATGTGGACATGGTGGGGACATGGTGGAATATCTAAGACATGACAAGTGTGAGACCTGCAGTAGAAAGGCAACTGAACCTCAAAGCTGGAGTTCCTTAAAACTGTGCAGTCTATGTGACTGACTGGAACTGCACATTCTGTGATAAATACACAAGCCAAGGCAATGTCAAGAATTTGGGAGGGCTGAGAGTGCTGTGGAGCACATCATGACAGCCAGAAGGTGTCAACACCATGAGAGTCCGCACAGCTTGCAGAGAGAGACCAACACTATCAGTAACAGAGACAAAATCGTCATAACAAATACATTTCATTGCCAAGGTAATACTGATTGGGATCTTGGCCCAAAAGCAAAAGCAATGTTAAATAAGGTGAGATTAGTGCACAAGCAGCAGTGAGGCTATAAAAGCAGTTGTGTCAGTGGGTTCAGCTGGAATTTCACTACACAGATGTATTTAATGCTCACTGATAAAAATTTAAGAATTTAAAATTAAAAAAAACCCAAACAAACAAACAACAAAAATAACCCGTATGAAATCCTTCATTTTTGTAAACTTTCAAGTTAGTAAGAATAAAGAGAAGAAAAGAACCAAGCTGGCATCATGTCAGCAATAACTCACTAGAAGCCACAGTCTTCTGATCTTCGAGGTAAAGCATTAGGAAAACTGAGAGTATCTGGGCTACAGATAACCAAACATAAATTTGAAATATGAGCAGTGAATACAAGGAGGCACACAGGCAGAGCACAGTAAGGTGGCAGCTCTGGGAGATTCACTGAATCACAGACATCGTGGCTCAGCTATTTGTCTGCAATAGAGTATCATCCAAGGACCCAAGAAGGCAGGTCTTATAAACAAGTTATATCAACAGAAAGGGGTTAATTAAAAACTGTCCACGTGATACTAAGTGCAAAACTAAGCTGTCCAAAACACAAAGGTCTTCCCACCATCATCATATATTACAGCATAGTAAAAATAGGAAAATGCTGGCTTACGGATTTTTAGCAATATTGAAAATTGAGTATCAGTTGCTCAGACAGGGGAGGAGTCATTGGAGTACAGCAAATTTTCTGGTTTTAAACACAGCTAGTTCTTTCAATTAATTAAAATGTATCTACTTAAGTACAAGAATTTGGGGCATGAAGCCTTGCCAATCATAACCAACTTGCCCAGCTCAGACAAGATAAACAGTCTTCTCTGCAGACTGTGGTACATCCCCAGCTTCCCAACCCCTCTCACCAAAGAATCCCTCTTCACTCACTCCCTGTGGGACTGAAAGCAACATTTCAAAGTTAAATCTAAATGTTTTCAGGATCAGGCTTTCTCTTATCAAATACAAGCTGAACACTTAAGTGCTACATAACCTGAAAACCTTGAGACTCCTTGGTGTAACAGATCATGATAGTTTCCTTACTGTTGTTGAAAAGGGCATTAAAAAATACAAAAGCAAGTATGTGTACTACAGGTGTTCAGATGACTTACTGATTTTAAACACATCATAGAGCAAAACCTTACATCCCAGTAGTTCACAGCTCAAAACAGACTATAATATAACTGGTTACATGATAAATCCCCACCTTTATCTGAAGCTATGTGAAGGATGTTCCCTGCTTGTGTTCCAGCTTGCTAATTTATATCAAGTGGTAGTGATCTGTATTATGAATGTGCACATGCAAGTGGGAAAGAATGTCCTCAGAGATACCAAAATCCTGGTGGAACAGTCTTTTGAAAGCAGTGATAGAAGGGTCGGAATGTCTTATTTTAGATCCTAACGATCTCTCCTGCTGTAGGTGTTGCAAGTTCACTGAGTAATTCATTCAACAAAAAAGAGGAAAGTGTTAGCTGACATATTTTGGGAAATCACCATCCTTCAAGACAAATCATCAGATTCTTAGCAGATATTTACCTGAACTCCAGTTACCAGCTCTGAGTGCTGGGCAGTAGAAGAAATCTGCTGAACTTAAGACTTTCCAGCTCTCTATTGAAATGCAGCTTTGTACTGAATACTAAAGTAGATGGGAGAATGGTTGAACCATGGTCTTCCAACTCTCAGGATAATGTCTGGGCCACTTACAAGACACCAAGTACTTCCTAGTTTCTCCTTTAGTAGTGCTCTCCATTTGCATGTATTAGCAAAAGTTTCCTGAGCCAATGTGAGAAAAATCGCTTTCTTGCCTAACAGACCAACAACTAAGCTGGGAAGTGGGTATCTGGGTCCGGTACCTGCTCCAGCACAAATTACTATTTTACAAACAAAAAAATGATCTTGACATGAGTGCCTGGGAATGTCAATCATCATTCCATATCCCAATCCAGAGAGCACCTACTGATAATCTTCAAGACAAGGATTTGAATTATTTCAGCAGGGGAGGGAAATAGAATGGGATCTACATCTGCCATAGGTGTCAGAGATGTCTCAGCTCCTAAATTTTGGGGCGAAAGGCTTTCCGGAGATATTATCTGGTAAATTTTATCCAAGCAGCTTTCAGGTGATTAAAAATTAATATTCAGTTCTTGTAGTTAAACCATTGACAAAAGAAGCTTGACCAGTTCTCAGATGATTTTAATATTTTACTTACAATCACCTTGTCTTACAATATACTACTACTTTTAACAGCCCTAGAAGCTCACTCCCAGATATGGCTGTCTCTGGCTTTGACTCAGAGCATGGTACTGACTATATATTTCATCCATACTTTTATTCCTCCAGTGTAAATTTTTGTTATTTATTCTGAGGAGCAGATCACAAGACTGACTACAGTCTCAGGACCTAAGCAGGGAGCTGTGGGAAAGGCTGAGCTCTCCATTAACAAGGCAAAAGAATGATTTAGAGACATGTTCAACCAGCTCCATTGAGATCACACTGGCTTTGAGCTGATAGGGTAGTTGTATTTCAATTATTGAGTTTCTTACAGAGCAGCACAAAGCTATGTGGAAATAGGTTAAAGTAAGTGCATTTCCTGAAAACAGGAGAAAGCAAAGGTGCAAATGAAATAGAAGCACAACTAAGGCAGGAGCCAAGAAGTGAGGGCTTAGTTTTGAAAATTCATTTTCAGGCAAAGCCCTATTTAAAAAGTTGTGTGTGAGTGAGAGCCTACTTGCTCATTATCTCTCCACATAACCGGAGAGCAACTAGAACATTTGTCACAGGCTTTAAAACCACCAAATGCTATTAGGTGTGATCTGAGAAGATAGTCAACAGGAACACATTAAATTACATTATGAATTGCCTGAGCTGAAAGCAAGGTTTCAGAAACAGGTACCTAATTTTTGACTCGTATATCTGCATTGAAGCAGATTAAGGATGTAACCTGGTTGTTCAAAGTGAGCACTCACATGTCCAAATATGGATCTTGAAAATCTATTTTGGTGTAAGTCTTAGACAAAAATCTGAATGGATGTGATTTGAAACTAACAAAATACATCACTGAATCTTCCAGAAGCACTGGAAGAGGAGCAGAGATTGCTATGCAACCTTTCTCTCATTTAATTTCTTTATCAAATTATCAATTACATGAAACATACAGAAAGGGGAGTTAAAATCACTGGTCTCCCTCTGAGGTTTGGTTTCACCCTTCTAATAAGTCAAGCATCTACACAAAACATGGTACTACTGTACATTTGTAAGGAACCACAGGGTTTTTTTGCTTCGGTTCACCATCTTGCTCCTGCACTTCATTTTCCTAATTACTATTTACAAAAGATTTAAAAAAAAAAACAAAATCCAAACCATGATCCAAAGCACTACATTCTCCAAATGAAGAATATAGTGGAGTACATTCAGAAAAAATGGGTGCTGTTGTCACCCATCAGACAGCACTGTGAATTTCAAACAGTAGAATCGTATCTGATGGATTTCATCTACCCAGCTGAGTCGTTAAGTGTTCACTGCCCATGAACATGTGATTTTAATCTCACTGAAATATATGAGGCATGCACCAAGGAGAACATACTGTAGTTTAAACATATATTGCTGAGGACAGAATTGCACTGACCTCTGAGGAAGGACCATGGGCAGGCAGTTGGTGCAACCCTAGGGATGGCTTCCAGCCACCTGAAAAGTTTTCATCTTCCTAAGCACTGTTCCATATTATATGTGTATCTGAAACCTGAAATGGTTGATTTTCATGTTGCAGTTAAAAATAATTTTCTGCACAACTAATTAAACATGGAATTTGAATTAAATGTTTATTTAGACCTCTGCTTTTGAACACAGTTTACTGTTATAGCTTCCAAATACATTTTTGTTGAGATCTTTACAAACTTTTAGATTTTATTACAGTTTTCCTATGTGTTGTTATACATACATGTGTACACACATATCTATATAATGTGCATAGCTAATTATCTAATTAACATCTAAAGTTCTGAGTCATTAACTTTTTCAGAGGACTAAAAGAACAGCAACCCATATTGATTTTCTGACCAATCAAAAAAAGACAAATCACTCTTCAGGCAAACCAGGAGTCTTGACTTAAGCTTACCTGGACTTGGATCTTTGCCAACCTTTTAAAATCACCTTTCAAAAAATGTCCCAAAACTCTGTAGAAACATCTCTGAACTTCAGATACAGCATTTGACAGGAAACTAATGTTATTTAATTACAAACTTAACTTTGGATGTTTTGGTGGGGAAAAAATACTTCTGAAAGTAGTATTCAAATTCAAAGCTGGTGGGTGGAGTTGGGGTGTGTGAAGGTGCATAAATAGGCAGTAGGAACAGCAGCGTTCACACTGTAACCGGGATCACCTTCCAATCCTGGCAGGCATCTGGGAGAGGAAACAAGGTAAGGCACAGCACACTTACTGCTTTCAAAAGTACCTGGGGGAGCTGTGAGCCCAGGTTACCTGGGACTGGGGCAGCTGATCAATGGAAATAAAAGACTGCAGCAAAGTAGGCACAGCTCAGCACAGCTTGCTATGAAGAAAAATTATGCAGAGGAATGCTGGCTTTGCAGGTTAAAAGAGCTAGGAAAGGAGGGGGTTTTGTGGGGTGGAAAACTTAGCAAAAGTGCACATAGCCTTCCAGAGGCAAGGTTTTTAAAGAGTAGGTTTAATGTCTTTGCTTTCTGCATCCTGCATCAGCGACAGCATAAAATTGTCTGCTCTTTAATTTCCTGGTTGTCCCATACCTTCTTTTTTTTCTTGTTTTTTTAAAGAAGCATTACTTCCACTATACAGCTCTAGCCAAAACAACTCTTGAGGCAACCCTGAAAATCCACTGGGTTTAATTTAACTTTATGCAATTTTCTTTCTTGCCAAGGAGACTTTTCTTAGGGTGGAAAGGCAGTCTGCTGCAAAAATCGTATTTCATGCCCTTTGAAACAGTAACTCTTTGGATGTTTGAGGTCTAGTGGACATCCCAGTAGCAAAGAGCACTGTACCACTGATGAAATTCAGCTAATGTCTCCTCCTGCAGTTCCTACGCAGAAAAATGCTTCTGTTTCCCTGGATTTTCATTGTCTGAATTTTAAAAACTGGCAGCCTATTGTAATATTGCATGAATCTTTTGAATTTTCTGCATTGCTTTTGGAATATCTTAGATTTTCTTACTGTATCCATCGCATTGGTGTTGTAGCTTCTACGAGGAAATTTTATGAGAAAACATAGGGTCATGCTGCCTTCAAAGAAACATCCCAGCTGAAACTCTGAGGAGCTTCCCATCAGACATGTCTCATCCCCATCTCCATGCTCAAGTCTGGCTCAGGAAAAGCCCTCTGCTTTGTGTTCCTTAAACCAGCAAACTGCATTTCAGTTCTCACTGTTCCACGCAGCAACCTCTCCCCATTCTTTTAATTATAGATTCTACAGGTTTTAAGGATTAGATGATACTTTTAAGGGGGAAGACAGGATTGGAAGTTACAACAGCAGCATTAAGCTGTGCCTGTGCCAATGGCTCACTGTAAAGCCTAGCTTAACATTCAGACTTGTTTGAGTTGCTCCTACTGCAAAATGGATGAAGAGCTGGGACGTTAGTTTTTCAGCACCTGCTTCTAAGTTATGATAACACTGGGAGATCGAGGTAGTACCGTGAACCTGCTAGGATTTGCAAGTACTTTTGGAATTGCCAAAACTTATGTTTTTACTGAGCAAATTCAATAAATGTAAAAAGATGAGAGAGAAACTAACATGTAAGTGTACATCTTGAAAGGGACCACAGCCCAACGGCGTGAACAGGGCATCAGAAAGCAGCCAAGTCTTTCATGGCTATTTGCTAAGCAAATCTCAGACTTCCTTGACGTTTCCCCAAGCCCAGGCCCCTGCCTGGAGCAGTAGGTTTCAGCCCAGACTCACCCTGCTGCATACCTGTGACTTGACCTGTTGCTCTACGCGTCCTTTTCTGCTGTGTGCCTCCACCTGTCAGCACAACTAGACGTTTCTCTCATGTCTTCCAGGAGCAGCCATGGAGAAGAGTTACGTGTCCATGTTCCTGCTGCTCGTTGCCATCTCCTGTGCTCTGGCAAAGGATGTGGGCAAGAAGGAGACAAAGGAGACTACAGCTAAACCGAAACTACCTCAGACACTCTCCAGAGGTAAAAACCAAAAAAACCCCATCCCAAATTAAAGGAAAAAAAAGTGCAATCTGCCTAAATTTTGACTCCCACGTTGTTCTGGTCTAACAAATTAATTTTCTTGCAACTCATGCTGCAAATACATTTTTCTAGCATTTCCTAGCATACCCCCACCCCCCACTTTACTGCTAGATTTAAAGCCCTCTGGCAAGCGGTCTGTTCAAAGCCCCGGGCAGGGACGGGACACAGCCCCCCGCCCCCTGGCCCCGTGTGTAAGGCGCTGGCTGTGCTTCCCCCGCAGGCTGGGGAGACCAGCTCATCTGGACGCAGACGTACGAGGAAGCGCTCTTCCGTGCCAAGCACAGGTACCGCGCCCCGCTGCGCGCCCCGCGCCGCACCCCTTAGCGCCTGCCCGGCCGTAACGAGGGCTCTTCTTTTCCAGCAACAAACCCCTGATGATTATCCACCACTTGGAGGACTGCCCACACAGCCAAGGTAATGCCTTTGCACTGGGGGGGAAAAAAAAAAAAAAAAAAAGAAAAAAAAAATCTAGGTTTTGTTCTCTGGACAAATGCTGCTTTAAAAATCCAGCCACCATTCTGCTTGCTAAACCTCAGTGAAATTCTAACCTGGGCAAGCATGTGGAACATTCTTCAAGTTGCTGTCACATGGAGATATTTTCCAATGTGTAGAAATAAAATAAAAATTCAGTGTTTGGTGTTACAGAATAAATACAAAAAAGAGCACAAGGCAGCAGGTTTTGACCTGTGGCAAAAGTCTGGTTTGGGGTTGCGTCACAGTAAGCCAAAACCCACAGCAAGACCAGGAGTAGTGAAAAACAGTATTTTATTGGAAAGGATGTATTCAGCTCTCATTATCATTGATGACTGAGACTCAATTCGGCCAGGACCTTAATCAAACTAGGCTGAAACTGAGCTCGGGGGGGGTGTGGGTGTATGTGTGGTGTGTCGGGATTTCTGGTAAGTGGGACTGCTCTTACCCAATGCTTCTGAATTTACCTGAGGACCCTTCTTCCCGTAAGCCAGTCCACACTGCAAGACCTTTGTGTCCACCCAGAGCTCCAGTAACTCCAGAAGGATCTTTGTACAAGCATTAAAATCCTTTCAGAAATTTCAGGCTGAAGTCCTGTGCCTCCATACTGAGTTTTCTCTGCCTTAAAAACTGGAGCCAGAAACAGCAATAGCAGGCTAGGAGGTTTAAAGGGTCAAATGTTCAAATTCAAGCTTGAGCAGACAAATTTGAAATCTGCACTATCTGAAGGAAGGAGAGACATTTTTTACCGTTATACTTACTCTTTACAACACAAAATATAAATCATTTTCCAGATGAATGAACTTAAAATCTTCATTTGCTGCAATTATAAACTGGAAATGCTGAATTTAATTCTACTTTCATTCCCATTTATTTCCCCCCTAGCACTCAAGAAGGTCTTTGCTGAACATAAAGATATACAGAAATTGGCTGAAAAATTCATTCTCCTGAACCTTGTGGTAAGCTTCCCAGATACACTTCATTAAGTGAAAGCAATAAAGTTCTATTTTTAATTACGGCTTCTCTAGCTATAATTAGTCAGTTTAATAGCTAGGGTTGGCTAGGAAAATGGCCAGTGCTGAAGTATAACAGATTTAGTAATAAGTGTCTTTCATTTGTAGCTATCATAGTATGAGAGAATTTAAAATTTAATAATAATAAAGTTTAAGAATAACATTAACTGTTATCAATTTCCAACTCTACTTTCTGAAAAGACTGCATCCTAGACAGTGAATTTCTTAAAACTGCAAAATGTATTACTTAAGCTCTATTTCATAACACAAAGTACAATGAAGAAAAGAAATATTTATGTTGCATGCCCTTTTTGACTGGAAACCTTCTCTATTTTCTTTAAGTATGAAACCACAGACAAGAATCTTTCACCTGATGGCCAGTATGTCCCTCGGATTTTATTCATAGGTGAGTACCTCAAGCATCAAAGCTGATCTCAGATGAAAGCCCCATGCGGCATGAATCTCGAATCTCCAGGCTTATTAACAGGAATTTATTCCATAGGAAATATAAAGTTTCTAGTTAGTGTTGTGGGATGCAATTTGAAAGTGACCCCAGCTAGATCATTAGTTTCACAGGTCCAGCATACCTCCCTTGTGGATTCCTTCCATCATGTCATCAAAATGACATGGTGCCACAATCACTGGAATTGATAGGCAGTGGCTCAGCCTTGCTCATGCTCCTATCTCTAGAGGTACTGTAAATCTGACAGGTTTCTGTCTGTAACACAATCTCAGACATTGTCAATGCAGGATCAGCACTGACCCTGGATGCCCCAGAAGCCGATTTTTGAAGCTCAGTACTGAGTTCTGTGCTCCTCTAACCTACACAAACTCCTCTGAAGCATTTGTGTTTCTGAGACTTATTAGTGGCCAGGCATGCATTCAGGTACTCCCTCTCCCACAAGAAATGTGTTATCTCACATACTGCACACACATATCATTAATACATATCTTGATAAATCTAGGTCATGATGACCATTTTCAACAGACCAAAGCAACTACCATGTTATCTCTTCCTTTATTATTTCTTTTTTAATAACATTTGTAACCTGAAAGCAGCCTCAGCTTGTTGAGTTGAGACACTGCAGTGGCACAGGGCGGAAGGCTGATCAACACTGATCAGAATTAAACCTATCCCCTTCTTAATAAACCTGAAAACACACCACTTGAAATTTAAATGTCAGTGACTGTGTAGACAATCTCTTGGTTGTCAGTGGAAGATGACTTGTCTTGCAGAAACATTTAGGAAGCAAGCAGAAGTGCAGAAAAGATTGTTTCCTTCTGCTTGAAGGTTAATCCTGTCCTCTACAATGGTTCTCATCCTTTTTTTCCAGATCCTTCCCTGACTGTGAGAGCAGATATTACTGGAAGATACTCAAACCGTCTCTATGCATATGAGCCCTCTGACATTTCACTGTGTAAGTAGCACATTCTGAAATATTCTGCAAAATATTCTGAAAGCAGTCACATTTTTCATGAGACAAGGAATAACATCAGGCATTACAGACTCTCGCAATCAGCACAGTGCTGAAAGACAGTTAAGATTAAAATTAAACCAAATGCTAGCCTTAAACTCAGTGAGGTGAAGAGAATGGCAGTGCCCTGGAGCCTTGAACATCCATCTGTTTTAAAAGAAAGCATACATCAGGAGGAACTTGAATAATTCAGCAGTGTTCACTGTAAGCAATGGTGGGAAGTCTTGCACACAAGCCCTGCTGGGCCAGGTCAGGAAACCTTCTGGGAGCAGGGAAGAGATGTTTGCTACAGCCCTTCCTCACCACTCCACAGCTCCCACCTCTGCCCTGCAAATGCTGATGTGTTTGCATTAGGAGATGTGTGCACTCACCAGCCAAAATGAAACAGATGACGATCATAAAATGCTTAGAAAACAGTGCATCAGAATCTGTATCACAATAGGCATGTGAGCAAAGACTTAATAATGATGACATTCTCTCTACAGTATTTGTAGCTGCTGGAAGTTGCAAAAATAACATGTATGAATATTTAATTTCTAGTGTATTCAAATATGCAGAAAGCCATGAAGCTCCTGAAGACTGAACTGTAGGGGACGAAGGAAACCCTCAAATACTATGAGGTCTGATCTTCCATTTCTTCTCCACTCATTGAAGCTGGCGAAGAGACTATTTAGTGATATTTAGTGATGTGTAGTGTCAGTTTATATACATAAACACTACAGTTTTACATTAGCACTTTTGTACTGGGCAGCATTTTTAAAAGCTGGAGGCTTTTAATTTAAGACGTACAGAAGAATACTGTATGATCCAATTGTAAAAACGATTTTTTAAAAAATAAATCCATTTCAAGTGTTTACATACAAAATATTGCTGTGGTTTGTGTTTTTTCCTTATTATCCTCTACCATTATTAGAAAGAGTAAAATCACTGGTTACTTGAGACCACAGCTTGCAATTTTACATTTAAGTGCTTTGGAAGGGGCTGTTGTGGGTTGACCCCAGCCAGCAGCTCAGCTCCACACAACCACTCATTCATTCACCCTCTGCCCCAGTGGGGTGTGGGAGAGAACTGGGAAGGATAAGAGTGAGAAAACTCATGGGTTGATGGAGGGAAATTTATGAAGGAAAATGGTCATACAGTATTGCTAGACAAGTTGGACAGTCCTGACTGGCTTGCTGAAATGCAGTTGTCCTTGAAGTCACCTTTGAAGCCATATAAGGCAAAACCCTGAGTAAACAACACTGTTAGCAATGTGTAGAACGGGATGCTGCAGCCACAAGCAGGGAGTGCCCTCAGACAAAGTGGCCTCGTGTGACGCTTACACTGTACCAATGAAGAGTCAGTTGTGGCACATGAACTGAACTCAGGGACCAATCACGAGTTGTTATTGCGCACGTGATCATCACATGTACTACATTTATTATTTATTATTTGGAACAAGTTTGTAAATCGTATTGGTATGTAGGCTTGTTACCCGGGCTCTTCCCCTGAAGACAGTTTAATAAGTAAATCAAAAGTCACATGCACAAGCAAAGCAAAACAAGGAATTGGTTCACCACTCCCCATGGCAGGCGGGATCTCAGCCATCTCCAGGAGAGCAGGGCTCCATCATGGGTAACGGTGACTTGGGAAGACAAATGCCATCTCTCCAAACATGTGTCCTGTCGTCATCCCCCCCCCCGCCCATCCCCCCTCCTTTCTCCTGCTTCCCCAGCTTTATACCTTGAGCCTTACAGTATAGGATATCCCTTTGGTAAGTTGGGGTCAGCTGTCCCCTCTCAACTTCTTGTGCCCCCCCAGCCTGCTCACTGGCGCAGTGGTGTGAGGAACAGAAAAGGCCTTGACTGTGAAAGTGCTACTCAGCAATAACTAAAACATCCTTCTCTTATCAACACCATTTTGGTCACAAATCCAAAGCAGAGCACCCTACAAGCTACTATAAAGAAAATGAACTCTACCCAGCCAAAGCCAGTACAGGAAAGCAGTTTGTCTCCAATTTCAGCTGCTAGTCAAGCTCTGCATTGCTCAGTCTGCTTTATCTCCATTTATTTTTCTGTAGCACCAACCTATGTCAAGTTCTCATTATCAGCCCTTTCTTTAGTTAGATAACAAGAATTGCAAATCTTTTACAGAAAAGTACTGGAGACTAGAAGATGGGATTGTTTACATGTGTGGGAATTCTTTTGTTTCTTTTCTTAAACTGACTGCATTCTGAAGTTATTCAATAATCACGTTAGCTACTTGAAGATTTTTTTTAAAAAAAAGACAAAAACTGCTTGCCTTAAAAGATTCCTGCCTACATCAGAATTCAGAAAAGCCTTGAGGTGAGTAGTAGAGTTGACAGTCTATTGCGTATATGGTTAGTTTCATTTAAAAGCCCAAAAAGGACACAAGTCAGAACTGACAGGAAACCCTGCAACTGAACACCATGGGAGTACACACCACCTTAAGACTTAAACCAAAAGGAGACTTTCCAACCTCAAATATCTAAGAACTCAACAGCAGCAGCACCCATGAAAGTCCTTGGCCAGGACTATGCCTCTATTCTCTTCTAAGCATTTTGGCAATGTCAGCCATTATTACCACTACTCTGACCATTACTACCACTACCAGTTATGATAACCGTAAGAGGACTACACTTCAGAAGGCAGGACAGGTGAGAGAAGCAGGAGTTTCAGCTCAATAGAATTTCTCAACAAAATTAGAAGCAAGGCACCTGCTAATATGTCCTGTGCAAGCTACATGGACCCTACCAATCAGAAAATCACAACTGGTACCTGGAAATGGACCCAGTCATGCAGTTCAGTATTCCTTCAGCAGTTCAGTTGTTGTATGATGTTCCTTTCTATTGCAGCTTCCTTTAACTGTGATGAGGAAATTATTTGTTGCAGAAAGGTCTTTCCCTTCTTACTTCCCAAGCAGAAGACAGAGGGGGGTAAAAGGATGCAGCAGAGGCAGAAGTATTCTTTAGAAGCAGCTATCATGCACAAAAAGCAAAAAAATGCAGTTACACCAAGCAAAGGGACAGTGCAGAGTGAGGATGGAGCAATGGGTCATCAGAATCATCGCTGATCTACTCAACCTAAAGTACACTTGCTAGAGCTGTGTATCTGACCCAAACCAAAAGCTGCCTGTGTCACCACATTTTAAAAGTCTGTTTTTATAATTCTACTGAAGTAGCATCATTTTCTTAAGCAGATGTACGATGCTATGGATAATATCCAGCAAATGGATATAAGGCATATTCTACAAGAGTAGTCTGTGTGCTATAAATGCAAATACACGAGCTAGTTCAGCCTACAAGTATCAAGAAACTAATTCTTAAAATAAATTCATTTTTGCACTCAAAACTATGCTTTTGACCTTAGCCAAATTTTCAAGAATCTTAATATCTAAGTGGTCAACTTAACTCTGCTCTTTCCATCTTCTCCTCTAAATGCAGATTATTTAGACACATCAAACCAAGCTGAAGTACCTAAAATCCCCTTTTTCTGTTTCTTTGGAAAACCTGGGAAAACATTTCTGAAGTATATATGCTCAGTAACTTTGAAGTGCACAGGATGGATGGGGTTTCCAGAACCCCACTAGCATTCAATCTTTAAATAATTAGCCCTAAAAATAATAACGCAAGCTAATAATACCAGCATGTTCCTATTCCCTTATCAGCTATAGTTTTTAAGGTACATTTTACCTTAAGGTATCAAATCCAGTTACGCAAGCTTTTTCTTTTGGTAATAAATATTTTCATGTGAAAGGAGGCAGATGCCGTGCAGTGGTATCAGTATGTTAGTGATGATCTGGATTCACTTTCTTACACAAATGCAGAAGAATTGTATTTTACTGTTTTCTAGCCAGTTATGTGATAAAAATGTGTAGGTTTCTCAAAGAAAGTCAAGACAGGTTTCTACATTTTCCAGAATAAACTTTAAGAAAGCATTTCAACATAACTAAGGTTAAAAGACATCTAATGTAAGCATTAAGAATCTTCCAAGATAAACCATGTTATTTTGATACTTTTCTCCTGTAAATAGGTTCTGGAAAATTCGGTTAAATATTAAAATGCCTCTCTAGAAACCAAACAAAAACCACTCAATCTCTCAATCTTTGTATGAGCAAAATGTTTTTTTCAAGAGGAAAGACAAAGCAATGAACAAAAACTTCAAAGAAAACTCACAAAGAATAGGTTATTCTTAAAAATGCACTATTTCAACACATCAGAACAGTACATTCCTTGTACACTGAGATGTGAGTCAGACCTTTCCTGAAGGAGGGTACTCGCTTTCGCCCCAAAACCAAAGTCAGACTCAATGTGTCTTATGGCCCTCCCCTTAAGAATTTGGTTTTGAAAGAGAATCCACACCTCTAATGTGAATTTCAAGTTGGTTGGTTTTATTTTTAAATCACAATCTTAAAGAGACAAAGTATTATTAATGATAGAAAAACTTTAATCAAACCATATGATCCACTGATCTGTCTTTTGACTACTAAAAAAAATTCACACTGAGACATAAGTTTCTGAAGTGGTAACATTTTCAGTATTTCCTCAGTGATGCAAATTTACACTCCAGTATCACCTACCTTATCAATGGCACCAGAGCCACCCAAAACTAAGCACTAATAATAATTAGGGGAAAAAGTCAAAATTGAAGCAGAAATGCAGTATTATTTTAAGCTTCATACACCCTCCCCATAAGACTCTTCCTTTACTTTATTAATGTACAAAATGTGGAGCTTGTCTAGGCTAAGAAAATTAACTGTTGCCACAGACAGCCACAAAATGATCATCATCTTCTTGACAACTATTGAGAATGGCTGGTTAGTCAGTCAAACAGGACAGCACTTGAGGAAAAAAAAAGCTGTGTATATTTACATTATAGTCGAGTAATACTCTGAAGGCCCTTAAGGTCTTTCAGTACATGAGTGGACTCTTAGACTGAATGTACAAGTGCTTGAAACAGACACCAATATTTCTCACCACACGAAGCAGTAATGTATAGATCAACCACCAGGAGATGGCGCTGACAGATGTTGAAGAACCAGCTACACCTGAAGAGAAACTGTTTTTAGCAAGTTCTTGACATCCCCCTGCATTTGGGTTCAAATCTTCCCACCTAAAACCTCACGGCAATTCCTTCTTTAAGAGCACTGAGCACATGAAAGTCTGAAAGTAATGGGAATGTATTTCGACTTCTTTTTGCCTCCTCTGCAGGAGTAAGGAGGCATCTCCTTAGTAAAGGGAGACTGAGAACACACTTCCATCTGCCCTCAACATCTTCCTTTTCACCTCACTCAGCTGCTGTATTCCTTGGCAGATGGCCTTAATGCTCTTCCACCTTTTCTTCCCGCAGACCTGTCTTTCAGGCTACAGCAGCTGCCTACAACTCGAGAAGCAGGAACTGAATGAAGAAAAGGTGCAGTACAGGTCTGCAATTCAGCGGGATTACAGACAAATGGAATATTAAGCACCTTGGGTAAATGTCTGATGTTCCAGCTGATACATCACTTCTATTACCAGTTGGATGAAAGACCATGCTCTCCTTCAGCTCAGACAACACTTAAAACATGGGTAATGTACTGTTCTAACTTTTAATTACTAAAAACCCAAAAAACCCAACAAACTACTGGAAATCATCACTCTTCTTATTTTGCTCTTTTTTTTTCCCCCCTCTTTTTTTACACACCATCCAATCTCTCATGAAATCAACACTGTTAGCTGGATGACAGATGAATACACACTGCTGAGTGATTACACAATAATTTTACACCATCTGAAAAAATTAGCTGTACAACAACTTTCCAGACAACAAGTTTCTACATTAAAGATGACAGACCACTGTTGATTTTGATGTTGTGCAAATACCAAACTTCATTCACTCAAAGAAAAAAAAGTTTCAAGTTAATCAGCTGCAGATTACATTCTCCTGGGTTTCTTCATTCACTGTTCTCATAGTGAAGATATCCATTAAAAAGTAAAGAATTATGTTTATTCTCAACAAAATTCTAAAGCTATCAGAAAGCCAAAACAAACAGGGAAGGGGAGGGGTGAAGACTACAGTAGTCATTAACATACATTTATGTGCACTACAGAAAATAAAATCTTTAGCTTCTATTTTTACCTTAACAGGAAAGTGGGAGATCATCATTAAGACAAAAAAGTTGACTAGAGTTCAATCTAAAGTCTAATCAAATTATACAGTTCAACCATTCACCATATATTCTTATCATTTTAATGAAAAATCATGTAATATAAGCAATGAATACAGCAGAAAACACTTTCATGACTTTTGGAGAAGCCAGTAGTGCTGTAAAATTCACTGGAGGGAGTTCACCACATCAATTACTGAAGTCTGTTAACAGAGTTATTTAACCAGTTCAGAGCATCAGTCTGACTCTGCCCAGCTACCAAATGCACCAGTCTACTTCAAGATAGAGATTCTTAGTAGAAAAATAGTGAGAAATTAAATAAGAAAACTACACATTTCTTATGGAAAGTGAAGGTTTCTTTTGGGTACATGTAGAATCCCTATTATGGAGAAATACCAAACTATGGAGAATCAGTATTCTGAAGTAGAATGTGCAGAGAGAAGACTCAGTCCTTTATAAACTTATCAAAGAAATGCACTAGGGTTTGCACGGGGATCCTTTTGGTTCCTGTATCTGTATGTCAGCCAGACTCCCAGAATCTGAAAACAAAAACCAAAGACACCATTAAGTAGAGGGTCTCCACCCCATCTTCCATCATTTACAAAATTTCTTTTAAACAAAATCCTGACAATGAATTTCCAGTACACAATTTTTGTATTTCGCTATTGCTGAAATTGCACAGCCACACACCAGCTTTCTTAATTAGAAAAAAAGAATGCACCTTCTCAGAAAGAATTCATACTTAGCAACAGAGAGAAGAACTAAGCAAAAAAGCAAAAATTGTGTGTCCACAGTGCAATGCAAAATATTTCTCATCAGTTTGTCTAGCATTATTCTTCCCCCTCCCCAAATGACAAATATTCATAAACCTGTTTTTAGTGTAATGGTAAAATCCTCCAAATCGTTTCATATTACAGCTACCACTTAACTATAAATCCTGTCATTCCCCCCAACCACCTTCCTCCCTCTCAACAGCTTCACATTTTTAGTAAAGAAATTGAGGGCAGATGTCAGAGTGACTCTGTTTATGCTGCTGTATCTCTCTTGATGCCATAATACCTACAAACCTTCTGAAAACTGCAGTAAGCAGCAGGAAGAGTATTTTCATATGCTCTACTCTAAGGTTATGAAAGACCTACTCTAAGAATTTTTGTTCACCAATCAATAAAACAAGTATACGTATCATCTGGATACTAAAGCAAAGAGTCAAAGACCTGTTTAACCTGACATATAAAGTACAGTTCACTCATCATGAAACTATACCTCTGAATTGCAAAAAAAAAAAAAAAAAAAAAAAAAAAAAATCCCCAAACCAAAAAACCCCAAAGACTCTGTATGTGCACAGGTGGGGCGAGGTGGGAAGAACAGGGGAATGAGGTAAAGCAATGGCACTCTTTTTATTACTTTTGGAGAACAGCAAATCTGAATAACTTTCTGCAAAACTTAAACTTTATAGCACCACGTTTTATTGTGGTATCCAGTTGTGGCTTGTTGTCTAAATAACAAAGTCACAAGAACTCCCAGTGCTGAATAAAGACAAACCCTCCTTTTGGCATACTTAAGCAAGCTGATAACCTGGAAAAATCTGATCTATATATTTGACTCCCAAGACAGTACTGAGATAAACTGTAATAAACTCCCTAAAATTATTGTTTCACAAAACAAAGCTTTAGAAGTGGATAAAACCCACTCTATTTTCTAACCTCCTACTCACCTCCGTGAAACTGAAGAAGAGTCCTATGCCTCCAACAAATCTCAGCACCATTCCAGAATATTCTTCTATTATCGGCGCACATGGTTGACACTGGCGACTTCTAAAACAATCCTGTAGCAGATAGAGAGATGTGCACTCCATTTTCTGATGACATTTCACTGACTGAAAGCATCTAGTTAGGTGCAGAAAAGACTGCCAGCCATGGACAAAACTCTAGGAGTTTTAAAAGACTCCAAAAAAGCAAGTATATAAATGACAATGGAGTACAAACTTTGCAAGGTGCTGTGTGATTATGTTTCCAGTAAATTAACTAAAGAGCTTAGTATCATTGTAACAACTACCTTACACATGTCTTAAAAAACTGCTTTCTGCAACTGTGTAAACAGCTGTACATATGAAGTGCTAAGGCTTGGACAACAGGCCCAAGCCAGAGTTGACCTATATATGAATCCTGTATGTTTCATAAATGGTAATCATTATGCCAACAGGTATTATACTAAGTTGTAACAAACCACCTATCCTGATGTAAAAGGTGGAAGTGTTGAAGCCTGAGCAACAGGCCCTGAACCAAAACTGTTAACCCGGAATGTAATCCTTAATGAATTATGCACAGAGGCTATAGCTACTTTGAATGTATCTTTCCCCTCATTTGTATGTGAATAGAATAACATAATCATGGAGGCAGGTGTCTGTCCCTGACACCTGATATGAGACCTTGAGCATAATCCCATCAGATAAGCAGAGAAACTCCTTTGGCTTCTTCCTTGAGCCCTGGCCAGGCTCTGGGGGAATCTAATGTGAGATTGAAACCAGGTATTTCCGCTTAAAACAAAGGTGCCAGCTCTTCTGGCTTGCTGATTTTTGGGTATATAAGGCTGGGCCCACTCACAGTGACTTTGGCAGCCTCACCTACGGGTGGACGCACCGCGCAGGATTTCCCCCTTGCCGGGACAGGCTCTGCAAACCCTCGCTGTAACCGGGGCTGCCCAGACACTGCGGGTCTGGGTGATGGTGACGTATGCAAGTGGTGATGGATCTTTCTTAATCACTATTCTCTTTCTCAGGTAGTAATGATTTGATGCATTATATTTTCCTATTTGTTTAAGCGTGCTGTTCTGTCTTTTCTTACTGTATGTTTTCTGTATTATTCTGTAATACTATTATTTCTAGTAAAATACGCCTGCACTTCTCACTCTGGTGTCTGA